ATATTGTACAGTCCCAAGGCCCTGTCTTGGACAGATGTATTTTTCAGCAGCTCATTGTAATTTTGGTTTTGACTGAAGATCCAGCAAAGTTAAAATCCACACCCACCCTTAGCCCATTTTCAACCTTTAACAATAGATTTATTTAGTGGTAGTTTAATGACTCCTTTGCTTTGGACTTGCAAAGGGGGAAGATTTCTGCAGCGAGGGGGGCTGTCCTGAGGATCACTGGGATGGTCCAAGTTGACAAAGAAGAGCCAGGAGATTATGCAAGATGCAAAAGTGCTGATAGACTGTGGAAAAGTACAAGTCGGGCTTTGCAAACCTGTTTCAAAAAGCAGCTTTTAGTAGCTGACCTGATGTTCTACCTGGGCAGTCTCTAGCAGTGTTTGGTGAGCTGGTTGAGAGAAAGGTACTTGATTTCAGAGAGAGCAGAAGGCAACTTTGTGTGAGTTTTTTTAGTGATGGTGTTGATGGTTTTTAAGTGGGAGGTTGTATCGTGTTCCTACATAATAGTTTTAAGATTTTCTTTTCTTTTCTTTTTAATTTTCAGTAACCAAAGGGAAGTTTCAGGTGATTGATCAGGTAGAGAAAGGGAAGCCCAAACATTTCAGGTTATGGTTGAGTAGACTTTTGCTGACATCAGAAAGTATTAATTGCACCAGCTAAATTACAAAGATGTTATCATGGCTCTGGGAGCCAAGAGCACAGTAATTAGGAGGGCTGCTAGATTCCCCATTCTGCTTCCCTGCTGTTGACTTTAACCATCAAGGCACTGGAGCAAGGTAAAAGTGAACTAATTTATGTAGAGGGCTTGGGATTGCTTCAAGAGCAATGTGACAAGGGGATACTTCAGTTTGTTAGCTGATGCTGTCCCCTCCAGGTGCTGCAGTCCTCACCAGTGTGCGGACGTGGACACGGGTGTTACCCCAAATAGGGTGTAACGGGCTGCTTGGGGGAAAAAGCTTTTAGTGTAATGAATCATTGACAGCTGGTTAAAGAGTATAAGTGTTCTAATTGCATTACTTCCTAGCAGTGTACGTTGTATGCTCATAAAGTTGCTTGCATTGGCATCTTAATTTTTGGAGTTCCGTTGAATTCTACACGCATCTCGCGCTAAAACCGTCTCTAATGTTACTCCAAAGGACAGCACCAATAACTGTGTGTGTCAATTTCTAAAATTACTTTAAATTTCTTAAGATGTTGTTTTTTCTCTTACATTCTATTGTTCTAGCTAGAGACTGACCCCTCCCACCCCCTGCCGAAGTGAGTTTTTTAAATAAACCTAAAGCTGAGCTCCCTGGTTTTAGCTGACACAGCATCTTCCCTTGTCAGAGCAGCCATGTGAATCGGCAGGGTCTCAGCATCCCTGCAAGAGCTGTGCTGCCTGGCTTCTGGCAGCCAAAATGATAGACATCTATCTTTGCACCTCAGAATGGCTAATCTGTTTTAATTTACTAAACTTGAAAATACAGAGCTGAAATAGTTCCTCGTTTCCATCATAACATAAAAGACTTAAAGCCTGTATATACTTAAGGGGAAGCCACAACCATCAATGTATTCGGGTGCATGTTTCTACCTTTGTCCTTAGGCACATGTCCCAGTTCAGAAGGGCACTTAAATATTTCCATAATGCCTTAGATTGCCCAACTAAAGTCAACAGGACTGGTTGCTGCCAGTAAAACTACTTATGATTAACATTAGACACATTCTTTAAATGCTGATGAACTGGGACCTGTGATAGTTTAAGACTGACAAATTGTTGGAAATGTAATGTTTCTGTAAATTCAAGATGAAGCTGTAAGTGACACAGAAGAAGATTTTTGTTTGTTTGTTTGTGTGGTTTTTGTTTTTGCCATTTCCATGTCTCCATTAGAAGGAAATTAAACCGTTGAATATGGGAAAAACTGGCATTGCTGATATTATTATTAGAGTTTCACTACAGGTTCAGAAATAGAAAATATGTTAGTTGCTACACAAAACTCTGGAAAATGAGGAATGGATTCCTGTCTGCAGTTACTTGAATAATGGTTTTGTAACCTTACTTATAGACTGGTAAAATCTGGGAATTGTAATTGCTTGGTGTTAGAGGTTTTGAAATAGAGCTAAATATCAACTGTAGGGCCTGTTGTTAAAAACTGAAATTTGTAAGTAGTATAATGTAGCTTCCAATATATTGTGTTATAGTATTTAATTGCCTGCTCTTAAAGGTTATTCTAAGAAGTCTTTCCATTCTTTTATAAATTTTCAATTTTCCATTCTAGTCCCTGGAGGGTGGGAGGGGCAAGGGGGCTAGGAAGGAAAATATGATTGTTTTTCCCCCACCACCTCCCTTTTACATTCCTTGAATTTCTTTGTATGGTGAGCACATCATTCATTCAGTTATGCTGAGGACTATTTTGGAAAATAGCAAATGAAATTGTAGTGTAGAATCTGGCTGGCTTTCTCAGGCTCAACAGGTCTCAAATTATGTATGGAGTTTTATTTTAACATATATTTCTATTTTGCATTACAGAGGATTTCTCTTTAGAATTTTACAGGTGAAGGCAAATCTAGGAAATAAAATAATCTTTGCTTTAAATTGTAGCATCACCAACACCACAGACCACAGTGATTCTTTCCAATCAGGAGAGCTGGAGTGTCTGGGGATTTAACAATTAGTGTTTGGAAAATCTTTCTGCAAAGCCAGGGCCTTGTCTGGAACTGGGACACTCCTGGAATTCAGCCAGAACCAGCAGGAGTGCTGTTTTTTGCAAATTGAAGGACACCAAATAAAGGGCCACCTCAAGGCTCCATGGAGGGGACCCTGCAGCAGGGGCCACTGGTCGATGCCAGTGCCTGGCCCTGCCCAGCCCTGTCTCCTGCCAGCAGAGCAGTGTGGCTGAGCACTCCCAAATTTCCTGAAGGCAAAATTAATCTGACTTGCTGAAACTGTTGATCTGAGCTTCCCAGCTGGCCTTGTCTGCAGTGATACAGGGAGAACTGGCACAAAAGAGGGTGCTGGCAGATTGATGGGGACCGTAACTGGGAACAAAGCAGTAGCAAAGAGCAGCTGTGAGCAATAACCCTCTCTGCAGGCACGCAGAGGAGCGTGTCCCTGTGGCCACTGCTGTTCCTGTGGTTCAGCAAATTGTGCTGCTGGTTAAGCTGTCCTCAATTTCCTCAAAGGCCATACATAGATACGGGTGAACAAAATATTCCCAAGCAAGCAAAAAGCAGTTGGAAATTATTAAAGCATCGCTAAAGCCCTTACAGTTCTGTGACACTGAGAAAAATGTAACACTTTTCACTTCAAAGTTGCAGAAGGTTATGTAGTAGTAAGGCTATGCAGGGTAAAAATTGAACTTGCTGAAACTGTTGATCTGAGCTTCCCAGCTGGCCTTGTCTGCAGTGATACAGGGAGAACTGGCACAAAAGAGGGTGCTGGCAGATTGATGGGGACCGTAACTGGGAACAAAGCAGTAGCAAAGAGCAGCTGTGAGCAATAACCCTCTCTGCAGGCACGCAGAGGAGCGTGTCCCTGTGGCCACTGCTGTTCCTGTGGTTCAGCAAATTGTGCTGCTGGTTAAGCTGTCCTCAATTTCCTCAAAGGCCATACATAGATACGGGTGAACAAAATATTCCCAAGCAAGCAAAAAGCAGTTGGAAATTATTAAAGCATCGCTAAAGCCCTTACAGTTCTGTGACACTGAGAAAAATGTAACACTTTTCACTTCAAAGTTGCAGAAGGTTATGTAGTAGTAAGGCTATGCAGGGAATCAATAGTGAAGCTACAAATAAAATTCAAGAAACCAGACTTAGGTTGCTTATATAGTTCAATTAATTAGCATGCAATTCAATTTTAAATGCATATATTAAGTTTCCAGCATATTTATTGGTGAATGGCTTCCACTCTGCAGTAAGGAAACTCACTGCAATTACTTTGTTCTGAGTTTGCAAAGCAGACAGAAATGCAGTATGGCAGGTCCCAAAATATTAGGCTGTGGTGATAAATAGCTAGAGATCTGCCAGGAGATGAGCTTTTACCACTAGATTTTGCAAATGATCTATGGAATATTTATTTATGTATTTCCAGCAGTAGTTATGCCTCAGTGGGCTGAAATGTCTCTGCAGAGCTACTGGTGGGACAGTGTTCCAACCCCAGCTTCATTGTTCTTGGAGATGGAGCACTTTTAAGTTTATAAATCTCTTCCTTAAACAGCTTATTTTTAAGGGCATTTTAGGGGTTGAGCATCTGGCTTGACTTCTAGATCTTTTGGATTCTGTCCTAACACTCAGACTGCTTCAGGGTTGGGTGGGGTTTTTTTGGTGCTTTTCATATCCTGAGCTTCCAGTTACGTGTTTCTCATTTGCTAGAAAATATTGAAGCTGTCACTCACTGGAATAAGGTAGTTCTGAATAGATGCTGATAGACCTCCTTAAAAAGGATGTGGTACAGCTCAGGAGGGTTATGTACCATCTGAACAACTAAACTTTCAATTACTAAAAATTCCTGATGCTTGTGGTGCTGCTGGTGGTAGTTCCAGGCCGTTGCCCAGGTCATTGTAACAACCAGATACAAAAGACTGCTTCAGGATGAGATTTTTTCCTTGAATTCAAATATCATCTCTGCATTATAGCTCAGCAAGTTAGTTCTATGCCCACCTGGAGATGCCTTCTTGCCACCGCCTTCCCCTGCTCTGAGACCAATTTCAGGGTCACTGAAAAGGCACCAATTTCCAGGGTCACTGTAAGGTTTGTTTGCTCATGCAGACTTGCAATTGAGTCAGCAGGAGTCACATCGTTGATGCTACTGGTTTAATGATGGTATACATCAGGCTTTGTGGCAACCATGTGTGAATTCAGACTTGAAGTGCAGAGAAGTTAAGTCAGGAAAATGAGCAAACCCTTTCCATTTGGCAGTCACGAGTAGGATAAGGCTTGTAGAAAGAGTGCTTTTCTTTTTGAATGACGTTTTGTCTTTTGACCCTTGTTTTCTACCTTTGTTGTGCTTTTTTCTCCAGCTGGGATGACAGCAGCTCTGTCAGCAGTGGGATCAGTGACACCATAGATAACCTCAGTACTGATGACATTAACACTAGCTCCTCTATCAGCTCCTACGCCAACACACCTGCCTCCTCCCGCAAAAACTTAGACGCACAGGTAAGACTCCTGCTTTAACAAGTAACACTGGTGTTTATTATTTTCTCTGCAGCAGGTACAATTGTTTTAAGTCGGATGAACTTGACCACACAGCCAGCCTTCAGTATGGGTGGCATCACTGAAAAGGCAATGTCAGGCAATAGTAACAACCTTATCATACGTGGCATGTATGAATATTTCCTCTATGCATCAAATCTGTGGCATCTTTGTGTGGTGTTGTGGCAACAAATGACTTCTGCCTTCCAAGCAGCAGCAGCACTGCTGTACAGGGAACATGCATTAGTAGATGATTTTTTATATATATATATTTTTTTTAGCTCTAGAGGGGGTATTATGTTTTTTTCTTAAAGAATAGAATTGAATTAGGTCAACGTGAAAGTATAAAGATTATTTACACTTCCATCGGAAATGTGAGCACGCTAAGCAAGTGAATAGATTCTTCTAAGCTTCCAGGGCTGTGTGTTACTGCAGGCTTTCTGGTCTTGGCAGCATTTCATAGGAGGGTAAATTTTACATCCGTCGACAGCCTATGTGTACATTTTCTGCTCAGATACCACACATCTGAAGAGGGCAAAACAACTGCAGACATCCAAGTTTTTCACTCATCACAGAGTTTGTGTATGGAGATTTGCAGTAATATAAACTGCTCTTTTCTTCCCAAAAATGTATAGAATTTGTTTGGAAAAGTGCAGGACTAAGTTTTGGTCTTTGTATACCCACCTGCCTGAGGGACTCAGCAGTTGTGTCAAAGCAGCAGAGATGCAGAGACTTGGCATTGCAGCAGGTAGAGGAAAGGGATGTAGGTATGACCTTCTCCTCCTGATTCTTTCCTTTTTAATTCTTCTCCAGTCCTTTACATGACTGGACCTTCAATCTGGTTTTAATATCAGTTTGAATGTACATGTGTGGTTGCTGTGAAGTGTTGCTCTGCCTACAGGACTGTGGTGCAAGCATATATTAGTCTTTGTTCCCTTGCCACGAGGTGCATGTTTGAGCCTACATTAAAGATTTCCAGTTAGCCCCTGGTTGTGTGTCAGCAATTGCATGTGTGCTCAAAACTGCTAATACAAGTCCTGTACAAGTTGAGAGGAGTTACGATCTGTGAAAGGTGTTTTGCAGTATGTAACAGAGTAACACAGACAACTAGAAGTACTTCTTTGACACTTGTTGCTGCCTCAGCATTGTAATACTGTTGGAAAAACAGGAAGAAAAAGGGAGATGTGACTAAACATTAACCTGAGGAAGAAGTATAGAAACTCAATTGACTATTATCTTTTGATGGATCAGATTCTTGGAAACACCTCTGAGAGATCAAAATCTGTGTTGATGAACTCCTCTTCCTCCCCCACGACTCCTGCAGTATCCAAGAAAGTGCAGACATACACCAGCAGAAAAGCATCCGAAGCTTGTACAGACAGTAGAACGAGGTCATTAGAAGAGAAAGCTGGGAGCTAAGACATAGAAGTTGTGTTTGCAGTTCTTTTATATGTGTCTCTGACCTACTTCTCTCCTCAGTTTTCATGGCTGACAATATTTGTTCTGGATATTACTGTTATCTGCAAATTATTATCCATAAAATACTTTGCTTCATTTGAACAGAATATCCTAACCTTGTCAACAAAAGTAATGAGGATAGTTGTGAATCATGGAACCATGTGTAACTTGCAGGGTTGATTCTTTGCTCCCCAAGCCAGTTCTCACAGCTCACAAAACAGCAAATGCTGCATATATGCCTGTTCTGTCTTACCTGGAGTACTGTATGATGGCCTGTGCCAGGTTTGCCTTTCCTTGCCTGGTGAACCACAAAGGACTGGCAGACATCTGCAGGGGATGTGGACGTTTCTTCTCAGAGTATCCACTGCTTTGGTTTGCCTAAACAGTAGCACTTAACTTTTAAGTTGCTGTGATTCTGCCACATCTTTTTTGAGGTGGTACAGCAGATGGATTTCAGGTAATTAAAGAGGGAGCTTGAAGCTAATATATGTGCAACGGGGAGCCCAGACAAATAATTCAGCAACATCAAAGGGAGAGAGCCCTAGCATGTCAGCCTCTGCTGATAAAATCAGGAACTTATGCAGTTACCTCTGCAAAGGAAGAGACATGTTTGCAGCAGGAAAAAAATCCCTGTTAAGAAATTGATTTTCAGAGGTGCTGAGTACCCTGTACTCCAGAAGCTGCAGTTCCTCTAGCCTTGAGAAGCAGATGGCAGGTGTGGCTCCCAGCTCATGCTCGCTGGGTCTTGCCATGACCTCCAGTAAACAATATTCCCACTTTCACCCACTCTGGGCCTTGGAGGCGGGTGGAGTTTCAGCTGCAATCCCCAAGCCAGGTTTCACCATGTTTTGGTTTTGATTCCTTAGTCATGTTTCTGTGCTGTTCTCAGTGTTTACCATTAAATAGAAACATCTCTGGCCAGAGGGCTTCAAGGGGAGGTGTGCAGCATTTCAAAGGCTATGGAAAAAACTTTGGCTGTGGGTGTAGTAGTAGAATGAAATGGAAGAAAGCAAAGATAGAGGATGTCATGTAATGTCAGTCTCTCAGTTGCAGCTGTACTAGCCTTGTAGGTGGAAAGGGCGGGAAATGGAAGGTACAGGAATATTTCATAGACAACCAAAATTAGAATAAGCCTTTTACTAGCCAATAAGTGTATTTTTTGCTCCTCAACATTAGCAGTATAAACACAATTCCAGACAAAGTACTTGAAGCAAGATAGTGATGAGAGCATGTGAGGGATGATGTTGAGGTGGTTTCATCAGTTTATTGTTGCTTCTTGCCTGAGCTCTCTTCCAAAACCTGTAAACTTAGGAGATGTTTGCATGAAATGATGGTTTTAGAAAAAAAACAGGACACAGAGCCAGTCACACTGTGAAATTCTTGCATACCTACAGATGGTCATAAAGAGAAAGGTGACCATCCCCAAACCTTGCAGCCATACAAAAAGACGGAAGTGAGAAAGCAGTTTCATTAAGTCTGTGCTGAGTTGCTCTCTTTGAATGGAGAGGCAGGGAAACAAAATTTGCATAGCATGAGGAAAACACAGCAAGAAAATGATATCTAAAGCCATAAATCAGCAAATACGTTTTAGTCTAATGGCCCAATACACAGACAAGTAATCCAGGCCCCAACTATTTCAGGTGATTGAGGAAAGACTGTTTTGATGTGTGGTGTCAGATTTCACATACTAATTGCTTAGACTAGTTTTTCAGGCTTTTAAAACAAAAAAGTTACAATAAAAAGGAGAGGAAATTAAACCACAACCCTCTTAGATTCTATAATATGAATGGTGTGATCTGGTAAGAAAAAAAGTCATAAACTTATGACATAGTTTAGGGACTTAAAAGTAAGCATAGCATTTTACTGAAAGTGTGGTTAAATAATCATGAGCCCTCTCCTTCCCTGTGCTGTGCTTTTCTGCTTATCCAAAGGCAGTAAAAAGTTGTAGGCTTTATAATGCTTTGGAATATTTAAAATAGTTTCCTTTTAAGTGATGTTACCATTTGACTACTGCACATTTCTGAGCACATTCATCTTCTGCTGAGGCTGCAGGGACAAGATGGCACTAAAGTCCTGCCAAAATTCACCAGTTCTTACTTTAGAGATTCATGGTCGAGTGTTAAGTGGGCAGTCTCTTTTGTGGTATTGTGATGGTTGGAGAGCACTTCACCTATGATTTTTTTAACTCGTGAGGGTCAAATACGTGGATATTTGATTTGTGCCTCATCACAAAATAGTTGGTTGTGGTGTTACAAAATTTGCCCAAATTAATCAACAGCGTTGTATGGGAAGCATAGAATTCTTCAAAAGTAGCAATCAGCAATAGAAAATATTAATGTATGGTAAATATATTATATGTAGGGTAACATTTAATTTAAGCTTTTCTGATAATCTGGCAATGGCTTGTTAATGAGAAAACTCTATTTTTTATATTGATCTTTGCAAAATTCTCCATAAAAGACTGGCAGCACAGTAAATCTTTGCAAAGGCTTGGGGAATTTGCTGGACCTGAATATAAATTAAAAAGTAAGATAATTTGTGTATTCAAGTCAGACTTGAGTATTGTGAGAACATTGTTGGGGATTCCTTTTTCTTCAGTTCTTGGGTGTTCTTCCAATATGTTAGATCAGAATGAACAGCATTCCACATCTTCAAATCTATTCCAAAAGCTGCCTCCTCATGCTTTGGAGATCAGATTGCCAGACAAGAGATAGGAAAGCAGCAAGAACAAAGGAAAGCTGGCTGCACAGGTTTGAAAGGTTTTTTTGGCATTGCAGTAAAAAGGTCCATCAGAAATCTGAGACAGAGGATTATAAATGTCATGGAGCTGAATATGTCCTTTATAAATCAAGTGTTTTTCTTGTCTTTTTTTTTTTTTCCCCCTTTTCTTTGTTCTAGGGGGCATGGCTGTCATGTTTTTGTGTATTTTTCTGTGGCATATTAAAAAAAAAAAGTCATTGCTGGGGTTAATTTCTTGCTGTGACATTTCCTTATCAAAGGCACATTAAGTCTGTTGGTACTTCGAGGTGACTGCTGAGTTGATTAATCAGTTTGATGCTTCTCATTTGTGAAGCTTCTTAAATGAAAGGCGTGCTCTGAAGGATGTGTTACAATTCCTTATCTGTCCTAGACTGATGCAGAAAAGCATTCCCAGGTTGAGCGGAATTCCCTGTGGTCCGGGGATGAAGTCAAGAAATCAGACGGAGGATCCGACAGCGGCATAAAAATGGAGCCAGGATCTAAATGGAGGCGGAATCCCTCTGATGTGTCGGATGAATCTGATAAAAGCACTTCTGGTAGGAAGAACACTGTTATTTCACAGACGGGCTCCTGGCGACGGGGCATGTCAGCTCAGGTTGGCATTACCACACCAAGGACTAAACCTTCAACCACCTCAGGCACATTAAAGACACCTGGAACAGGTGAGAGAAGGTGTAAGATATAAACAAGCCAAAAAGTGTGTTCAGTATGAAAACAGTTTTAAGAGTTTCCCAGGCAGAACCTGAACTTCAGGTAATCCTGTCTTTATTTTTAGGTATTGTTTTAACCTATGCAGCATCTCATATGTTCACATTTGTACTTCTGTTCATCTGAAAATGCATATTTTGGATTAGAACTCTGTGAAAGTTGTTTTTGTGACAACTCTAGTCTTAAGCCAAACATATTTATTTGGCATAGTACTGCTATATGAAGAGTAAATAATAATATTTCAGCTTTTGAAGTCATGGTTAACTTTAAGAACGTACAGTATGTGTGGTTGAGTTTTGTTTTTTTTCTCCATACTAACCCAGCATGTTAATTTATACTAAATGCTATTTAGTTCTGGATTTTCTTATAAACTTATTAGAGGTTTTAGCACTTGAAGATGTGTGAATGAAAAATTATTGAATTTGCATAATCGAGTAACATAAGTTAATACCTCTCCTCTTACTTGATCATGTACACAATTGTACATGAAAGAGTTGAAGATTGATGCTTTCATGAACAATGCCTGTTAGGAAGATTATACTAATGACCTAACACTGCTTCTCTCTAGTGATAAAAAAAGATGAATGTGTGGCAGGTCCAGAGAGGAACTTTTTTTTTTTTTTCTTATCTGTCACTATTTCCTAAGACTGTTCTGCTTTTCATATCTATGAGGGCAAACGCACCACGTTCTTTCTCTGGCAGGTCTGCATGTATAACTCGCTAGAATGGCTTGTAAGTTCAGTGTGAACTGGATCATGATTTTGAACCACACTCTGGTGGCTAACACGCTTTTGCTTTTCATGCTGCTTTGAGTTTCATCATTTGCTTGATGTTTTCTAGTCATTAAATATTAGAATTCTTTTTCTATTTTTGTAGGGA